CCCGAAACAGCCTTTGTCAGCACACAGAGAGCACATTGTCTCCTGAGGGAGCTGGGCACACGTTGATCAAGTTCAGGAATCTGAGCCAGAAAACCAGGCTAATGTGTTCTTTGTCAAAGCCAAATCCCCAGGATCCCACACTTAACAGCAGCCAATGAGAACATGTAACCGAAGGGGTGACACAACACCTGGGAATGTAAATGCTCAAAAAATGTAAGCCTAGCCCTGGCCAGGTGGCTCAGTTGGCTGAGCATCATCCTGTACACCAAAGGGTTGCAGGTTCGATTTCAGGGCAGGGCACATAGCTAGGTTTCGGGTTCGATCTTTGCATATAAGAAGCAATTGATCGATGTTTCTCTCTCTCTCTCTCCCCCCCCTTCCTCTCTCTAATCATATCCTTGCATGAGGATTAAAAAAAAAAGTAAGCCTGACAGAAGACAATTGGAACTTGGGTGGTAGGCACACAATACAATATACAGATCATGTATCATAGAAATGTACATTTGAAACCTATATGATCTTATTAACCAATGTCACCCCAGTACCTTTAATAAAATAAACAAATAATGCAGCCATGGTTATTAAAAGGGCAGTGTTGTCTAATGGTTATGCGTATAGACTTGAGCCTGGTTTAAATCCTGGCTCTGTTGACACATTGTGTGACTCTGTTTCAGTCTCCAAATCTGGAGGCTGGGGTTATTTGGTATCTACCTGATAGTGTTGAGTGTTGTTGTGAGGATTAGATTAAATTTATGTCAAATGCTTAGAATAGCACCTGGTACATATTAAATAGTCAATAAACATTGGTGTTACTTCCCATCTCCTGCTCTAAGCCTCAGCCAGAGCCAGAGCACGCGTGGGCTTCAAGCAGCGCCTCGGAGTGCTGCCTACCTTGTTTGTTTCTCAGGGGTTCCTGAAGAATTCCTGCCCAGCCACTGACCGAGAGCCCCGCTGTGATGCCTCCGCAGCCCCTGAGAGACCCAGCCCCGTTTCAGCAGCACAGACTGTGATCAGAAAGACCTGAGTTCCAATCCCTCCGAGCTTTCCTGTGTGGCCTTAGGCAAGTCACTTAACCTCTCTGAGTGTCATTTTCCTCATCCATAGAATGAGACGATCATAATAGTACAGGCTCATAATCACTTATCTCCTCTTCTGAAACCCAGAAATCTGAAAGCTTTGCACCAAAATCCCCCAAAACAAAATAAACAAACAGGCAAACATTTGGAGGCAAGATGTGACTGATGTGAGGCTGCATATAGTCTTAATTTATTTCACTGGATGTCAATATCCAACATTTTCCTACCGAATACCAATGAGTTTGATTATGGGAGCTGCCCAAACCTCCCTGGGGGTGGGTTACATAATATAAGATATTGGCACTGTACCATTTTGCTAAAATCCAGAATTCTGAACCACATCTGGCGCAAGGATTTTGGATAAGGAGCTGTGGACCCATCGTGCCATGTCTGGAGGGTTATGAAGATCCAATGAATTAATGAGTATGGAGGACTTTGCAGAGTGCCTGGAGCATAGGATAGCTGTTACTGTTTTTATTCCAAGTAAATTGTTTCACGTTTCTCACCAGCCGCTCGGAATAGTGTGTTTTATGTTCTCTCGGCCGTAAGATAACACCCCCTTTTAAAATAATGCAACCCATGGAACTGGTTTTCAGAATGTTTCTTAGCAGCCAGATTGTTTTTCCAAATTAAATCTAACCCAGTTCCCCCAACATACCAAAGAGCAGACTAATTGCATTAGCATACATTTATTTGATGTTTGTACAAGACAGCATCAGCCACAAGGAACAATGCAGAGTTTTAACTGCACCCACTTTTGATTGAAATCGGAGTTTACAAGGCCAGTTGCAGACTTCCAGCAGCCAACGCGTCTGATTTACTCAGGGATTTCTGCTTAGGGTCTGCTATGCCAATGATGTCTTCATTCATACAGATAAGTAGCTTTCAGCTTGCATTGCAATCTCAGGAAACTCTTCATCCGATCCAGAAAAGCTCCAAAGGGAAGTGGTAGGAGACTTGGGTTTTATCAGCAACATTGAATCCACTCACGTTGTGTATGGAAAGCACCCAAAACCCAAAGACAAGCACAAATACAGTCTTAGCACTGCAACACGATAAGAAATGTCACACCATCCCTTGATGGGAAACTGCATGCATTGAACAAATATGCCTGAGGGTTGTGTAGCAGTTATTCAAGCTCAGAGTCTGAGAAAGCAGCAATGAACACAGTAATACAATGTTCTGTGAGTGGCCAGCTGGAAATTTACAAAGAATAAAAAGATCAACAGAGAGCTATAAACTTCTACACCAGGAATGCACTCTCAAGAAGTTCAAACAGCCCTGGCCGGTTTGGCTCAGCGGTTAGAGCGTCGGCCTGCGGTACAGAGAGACCCGGGTTCGGTTCCCGCTAAGGGCACGTACCTCGGTTGCAGTTTGTCCCCGGCCCTGGTTGGTCGTGCGGGTGGCAGCCACTCGATGTGTCCCTTCACGTCGATGTTTCTCTCTCTCTCTCTTCCTCTCTCTCCCTCCTCCTGCTCTATCTGAACAAAAAAATGGAAAAATGTCCTCGGGTGAGGATTAAAAAAAAAAAAAAAAGAAGTTCAAACAGCCCAACCAGTGTGGCTCAGTGGTTGAGCATTGACCCATGCACCAGAAGGTCATCAGTTCAATTTCCAGTCAGGGCACATGCCCAAGTTGTGGGCCTGATCCCCAGTGGGGGGCATGCAGGAGGCAGCCAAATGATGTTCTCTCTCATCGATGTTTCTATCTCTCTCCTTCTCCCTCAAAAATCAATAAAGAAAAAAATTTCTTTTAAAAAGAAGTTCAACTATATGTATGGGGATGGAAGGAAAAGCTCTATCCCAACCATTGCACAAAAGAAAAAGATATTGAGGCTTGAGGATAGTTTGGGGAATGGACAGAAATCAGAGTCTTCTCTGGGTTTTAGGTCATGTGAACTCTAAAAATTCCTTCTGTGTCTTGACACCTGCTGGGGATGCAAGGACCTAACGGGAGTTTCTGACTGTTGGGGGAGGGGAGGTCGCTTACTTGCATCCTTGCTGCCAAGGTGGGGGTGTAGAATGAGACCTCTACCTATTGGCTCTGCTAGGGGGGCAAAAATGGGGTAGCCTCTCAGAAATAAGAAAGGGTTGGACGCTGGAATTCATACACATGATTGCCCACCACAGGAATACAATGGGGGTCTTCTCCAGTGTTACAATTTGATAGGTAAGAATCTGAGCGTGTGCACAGAAATTACATTTTTAAAATATTATTGATTTTTTTAGAGGAAAAGAGAGAAACGTCAATGAATCACCTATAGGCTGTCTCCTGCACGCCCCCTACTGGGGACCGAGCCCACAAACCCAGGCATGTGCCCTGACCAGGAATCCAACCCGGACCTCGCAGTCCACGGGACGACGCTCAATCCACTGAGCCACACCAGCCCCGCGAGAAATTATATTTTTGAAAAGAAAAATAGTTCAAACCTTTGCAAATCCCCGAACTAATGAAAATTTGCAAATTCACTGGTCAGAGGCCCCTGAACAAGGCTCTGTTTACCCACAGACATTTGGATTTAGCCTGATTGTTGTTGGTCTTTCTTCTTTCCTTTCTTCCTTCTGTTCTTTATCATAACAGGGGACTTGAAGGCTCAATGTAAATGTTGCTAATGGATAACTCCCGAAGGTGACCTCTTAATTACGCACCTCCTTTTGGACCATTCCCTGAAAGTCTTGCCGTTTGTTCTTTAGAGTGGAGCGTGCCCCTCCCCCCACGTCAGAGCTGCTGGGACTTAATTTGGGGAGAGCCCTCGCCTCGGGCGCCCATCAGAGCAGAAAGATCCCCGGCAGCCAGAGGGGCGCGTGCTTCCTTCCCCGCGAGCCCCCCCCCCCCCCCGCCTCCGGCAAGAGCGGCTGTCCACGGTCACGCCGCGGGGGTGGCGGAGGGGGCAGCGGGGGTTCCTGCTTGGCTCTTCCTCGCCTCTGTGAAGAGACCTTCTTGCAAAACCTTGGAATCCCAGGCTGGGTGTCTCTCCTTCCATTTCCTGCAAACACCTGCAGGATGGGGGCGGGGGGGGGGGGACGCGGTCTCCATGGCAACAGTCTCACACGCTGCTGGTTCCAACTGCGACTGCGCAGTTCGTCCCGCGGAGTCCCCGGTGTTGTTCGCGGGTCTTTGAGACCCTTCCTCACTCAGAAGTCACCCTTCCTCACTCAGAAGTCACCCTCACGCACTCAGATAATCCCCACCCACATACTCAGGTGTTACTCCCACAACTACTCAAATATTGTCCCCTCGAACTCATTTATCACACGTGCTCGGATGCTGCCCACAGACTCAAAGGGTACCCACGGCTCACTCATGTAGTCAGCTCAGATGCCACCCGCACCTACTCAAATATTTACCACGAGTGTCGTGGGGGCAAGGTTTGGGTCCATTTCGTTCCCTGTTGTGTTCCCAGTGCCTCCAACAGTGCCTGGTACACTGTGGATGCTCAGGGAATATTTGTTGAATGAATGGATGATCCATACTCAATCAGATGTCACCTGCATCTACTCAGATGGGAGCCACACTCACTCAGATGTATCCACGTCACTCAAATGGTACCCACTTACTGTGAGTGCCATTCAGGCAGGATTTGTTCCCTTCGGTAGCCCCAGCTGCTAGGACAGTGCCTGGGACATGATAGGAGCTCAGTAAATGTCTGCAGGAAGAATGAATGAATGACTCACACTCCACCAGGTGTGGACCACGCCCACTCAGATGTAACCTACAAATTAGCTCAGATAAAAATGCCCTCCCTCCCTCACTCTGGGCAGATGTTACCATGCTCACCCATTGTTACTGAAGCTACCCACTCACTTGGGCAATACTCATCATCACTCACATGATCTACCCTCACATTGCCCAGCTCACTCCGATGGTACCCACCTTCCCACAGTCGTCACCCACACCCACTCAGCTCACACCCACACTCCCTCAGCTGCCCCCACACCCACTTCTCGTCACCTCACAGCTTCTTGTCAGACGCATGGTGCCGTCGGCGGTTTTTCTTTTGCTTCCGCTTGCCCCTCTTGCCTTCTCCAGCCTTGCTGTCCTTCTCCTCGGAGTCCAGCGGTGGCAGCCCGTCCAGCCTGGCAGTGGCCCCCGGCTTCTCCCCTGGCCCGGGCACACAACACTTCCTGGCAGGCAGTTCTCTGGGACCTGTCACCGTCGGGCACAGTTCCTGCCTCAGGACCCGGGCCACATCCTCCACTGTCCTGCCCTCGCTCTGCAGGAAAAGGTTCAGCTTGGTCAGGAATTCAATGTCCTGCTTCCGGGGCATGTAGACCACTCTCCACATGCCGCCCTTGCCCTTGATCTCCCTGGGGATCACGGCATAATTGATGTCTTCCATCAGCCTGATGATGGCCGCCTTGGATCTTTCCTCTTCCAGAAAGGCCTTCCCGGCCACTTCGAACTTGCCCAGAGGTTTCAGGGGGACCCGGATGATCTCTTCGAATTCCTCGTGGTTGAGGTCCTCTGGGATACCTAGGATCATCAGGGACTTGTAGCTGTCCACCTCGAGGGCCTTGCACCCGTGCTCCAACAGCGCAATGTCCTTTACACCGAAAAGCATCTTGCCCAGCTCTCTAAGACAGCAGTACGCCTGCTGGTGCACACCTGCGCTACCCCGGGGATCCGGCAGATTATCCAGGATGCCCAGATCCCTTCCCAAAGGCTGCACAAGACAGAGGCCTCACAGGCCCCGTTTGTCCGGCTCAGTCAAGGATGCCCCCGGCCCTGCCTGCAGGGCTGCACGGTGTCCAGCCCTTGGCAATTCCCAGGGACTCACGCAGAGTGAAGTGGAGGAGGGTGTCTGGCGGCTGGCTCCTGGCTCTGGGGGAGGCAGCACCAGGGAGGGCCTGAAGATGCTGCTTTCCCTTTCTTGGTGGTGGCCTCCAAAGGTCTCAGCAGGCTTGGGACTGCTGATCTCCCTGGGGCCACTGCCCCCGGGTGTCGTGGGTGGAGGCCCGGCAGGTCCCTCGCTGCTGGCCCAGAGGCTGCCCTCAGTGCCCTGTGGCCAGGCTGAGATGAGGATGTGGCCGCTGCACTTGCTCCCGCAATGACGTCACCGCCTCCTTCTGCTCTGCGGCCCAGCGGTCTCCATGGCAACCACTAGAGCATCCCCTCTGCCATTGGCCAGGCCCAGCCGCATTGAAATCAGAGTCCGAGGGGGTCATTCAGAGGTGAGGGGTGAGCCACCCGCTTTCGGAAGTACCCTCTCCCTTTATCCTTTAGGAAAATGGCTGATTCCAGGGCAGTGGGGACAGGGAAGATATAAAATGAGCCTGGAACCTCTTCTTGGGTCAGAAAGTAAGGAAATGCTCCAAGAATGACGAGAACAGGTGAAAAGACAGAGTTAGCTTGAAGTACTCCCGCTGAATAAGTCTGGGACACTCTGAGCATGAACGCTAAAATTGGGGTAACAGAGTATAACTCTTTCAATAAAATAAGTATCCATGAGTCCCTGTCGATATAAGTAAATGTACAAATGGAAAGTTTAGTGGAGAAATGTGGGTTTTTACGTTGCCTCATATAAAACTTATGACTCAAAAGGAACAAAAGTATCTTTACGGTAGAATGCCCTTATTCGTAGGACACACCCCCTGTAGTATTCGTAGGACACACCCCCTGTAGTATTCAGGAATGATATTCAGAATGATGCACCAGGTTGGCAATTTACTCTCAAAACGGATTCAGAGGTAAAGTTCTTTGCACCATACTTGCAACTTTTTTTGTAAGTTTATGACTGTTTCAAAAAGTTTTTTTTTTTTTTTTTTTTTTTATCCTCACCCGAGGACATTCCTCCATTCTTTGTTCAGATAGAGTGGGAGGGCGAGAGAGGAAGAGAGGGAGAGAGAGAAACATCGACGTGAATGGGACACATCGAGTGGCCGCCACCCACACGACCAACCAGGGCCGGGGACAAACCGCAACCAAGGCACGTGCCCTCAGCGGGAACCGAACCCGGGTCTCTCTGGACCGCAGGCCGATGCTCTAACCGCTGAGCCAAACCAGCCAGGGCCAAAAAGTTTTTTAATATAAAAGAAATATCCTACATATGTGATCGCCTTCACAACATTCATTCCTCCCCCTCTCCACCCCAGTAATAAAAGCAATAAAGTTTGGGTTAGATGGACAGACTCCAAACTCCTAGCTCCAGAGGTGAGTGGCTTAAATGAATCAGCATAACCCCACTCCTTTGCCACAGTGATTGGCTCACAAATGGTTACCCAGGTAACGGGCCTAAGCCAATCAGTGCCGTCTATCACCCTAATCAGGAGATTAGTTAAGAGCGGGACACCTGTGAACTGAGTTAGTCCATTTAGAACAAAGTTTTTGTGACTAGTTCTGAGCAGGACACCCTGGGTGTGAGAACCTTGGAGAGAAGACTTTTGAGGATGAATTCTGCATCCTGAGGAAGACAGCTCAGAGAGTCACCGGGACAATATGCCATTGTCCTGATGCCATCTTGTACCTCCAGATCAAACTATACCTGACAATTACTTCCTCTGAAACTTTATTTACTTATGTATTTATTTATTTTTTAAATCCTCACTCGAGGATACTTTTCCATTTATTTTCAGACAGAGTGGGAAGGGAGAGATAGAGAGAGAAAAACATTGATGTAAGAGAGACACATGGACTGGTTGTCTCCTGCACGACCCCGACCAGGGCCGAGGACCAACCGCAGCCGAGGTACGTGCCCTTGACCTGAATCGAACCCACTACTCTTTGGTCCTCGGGCTGACATTTTAACCACTGAGCCAAACCGGCCAAGGCTAAAACTTTATTTTTTTTAAAAATTTTAAGTTGAAATACAAATAAGTGATAAAGAGTGCACAAATTATAAAAGTGAATGGCAAAGCCAGACTTCCTTCCTCAGCCTCCTGACTCCTGGGCCCAGACATTTAAACCCATACAACACCATGCCATTCCCGGAGGAGAAGGTGCCTTCTTGTGTCACCTGGCTCCGTTCCTGTTCTGTCACTCCATTGCCGTGTGACCTTGGGCAGCTAATTTCCCTCTCTGACTGTGTGGTGATTTTGTCTTGTTCAACATAGCTAAGCTGGGCCTATGTGTACCCTTTCCCAGGAGGCTCTGGGTTAGAGTTGTCGAAGGGAAATTTGCATGAGAATTAGACGGCAGACGTGAGGCAACAGCCACTGTACTGGGAAGGTCTGCGCAGGACCAGGTGCTGCGAGGGCTCAGGGTGTTGTCACTAGCCTGCTGGCCCACCGGGTTGGCTTGGGGCAGCACTGGGCCTCAGCCCCCTGCACCTGCTGGCCCTCCTCTCCCAGCTCCTGTGAATTTGGGGCCAGGAGCCCGGGAAGCTCCAGGAGGGAAGGATGCAGTGCTGCGGGTCACACCCAGAACTGAGGTTGGAGGGGGCAGGAAATAGCTCGTTGTTTTGGGTTGCGGGGATTTTTTTGTTTGTTTGTTTTTTAATCCTCACCCGAGGACATCTTTCCATCTTTTGCACAGATAGAGTAGGAGGGAGAGAGAGGAAGGGAGAGAGAGAGAGAAACATCACCGTGAAAGGGACACATCGAGTGGCTGCCACCCGCACAGCCAACTAGGGCCGGGGACAAACTGCAACCGAGGTACATGCCCTTAGCAGGAACCAAACCCGGGTCTCTCCGGACCGCAGGCCTATGCTCTAACCGCTGAGCCAAACCGGCCAGGGCTCGGGTTTTTTTATTCCTCACCGGAGGATATGTTTACTGATTTGAGAGAGAGGAACAGTGATGTGAGAGAGACACATGGATCGGTTGCCTCCCGCACAGGCACTGACGGGGGACCAAACCCACAACCGGTTGGTGTATGGGGCAATGCTCCAAACAACTGGCAATGCCTGGCCAGGAACCAGACAGAGATTTCTCTGAAGACTTCTTATGGCATGAAAAATTCACATTCAACTCTGTTACATAACATTGTCCATTTCAATACAATGATCATTTTACTCAAAAGAAGAAGTAAGTTGACAATCAAAAATATTTGCCATGAAGCCCAGGCCAGATGAACTCAGCGGTTAGAGCGGAGGCCTGCAGACCAAAGAGTCTCGGGTTCGATTCCAGTCAAGGGCACGTGCCTCGGTTTCAGTTCCTCCCCCAGCCCTGGTTGGGGTCATGTGGGAGGCAACCAGTCGATGTGTCTCTCTCACATCGGTGTCTCTCTCTCTCTCTCTCTTTCCCTCTCTCTCCCACTTTATCTAAAAATAAATGGAAACATATCCTTGGGTGAGGATTTAAAAGAAAAAGTTTGCCATGGAGAATGTAAATTGGTGCAGCCACTGTGGAAAACAGTCTGGAGGCTCCTCACAAAATTAAAAATAGAACTCCCATATGATCCAACAGTTCCACTTTGGGGTATTTATCTGAAGGAAATGAAACCCAAATGCACCCCAATGTTCACTGCAGCATTATTTACAATAGCCAAGACATGAAAACAATCTAAGTGTCCATCAATGGATAGATGGCTAAAGCAGATGTGGTGTGTATAGACAATGGAGTAGTATTCAGCCATAAAAAAGTAGGAAATCCTACCAATCGAAACCACATGAATGGCTCTTGAGGGCATTATACTAAGTAAAATAAGACAGAGAGCCCAGTCAGTGTGGCTCAGTTGTTGAGCATCGATCCATGCACCAAGAGGTCACTGGTGCCCAGATTGTGGGCCAAATCCCCAGTGGGGGGCATGCAGGAGGCAGCCACTAGATGTTCTCTCTCATTGATGTTTCTATCTCTCTCTCTCTCTCCCTCTCCCTTCCTTTCTCTCTGAAATCAATAAAGAAAATAAATAAATAAAAAAGACAGAAAAAGACAAATACCATGTGATCTCACTTGTGTGTGTAATCTTTAAAAAAAAAATAACCCAAGCTCATAGATTGGTGGTTGCCAGAGGAGGGTGAGGGTGGGCAAAATGAGTGAAGGTGGTTAGAAGCTACAGGCATCCAGTTATAAGGTAAATAAGTCCCGGGGATGTAACGTGCAGCATGGCAACTGTAGTTAACACCGTGTATTGCGCATTTGAAGGTGGCTAAGAGAGTGAATCTCAAACGTCCTCATCACAAGAAAAAAATGTTGTAACTAAGTGTGGTGATGAATGTTTAAAAAAATTGCTACAGGTTTATGAATTCCTGGGGCTCCACAGGTTTATGAATCCCTGGGGCTCCGTTGCACACCCCTGGGCTTAAGCACAGTCCAGATTGAGCAGCAGTGGCAGAATGGTCCATATTATATTGACTGAGACGCTTCCTTGTTCCAGGCTCCAGGCGACGTGCTGGGCAAACCTGAGTGAGTGAATTCAGCTGTGCTTATGGGAGCTCGGTCCAGTGGTTGTGACAGGCTCAGCTGCCTGTTTACAGCCAGGGAGAGAAGCCCAGAATTACCAAGAAGATGTGTTCTGATCCTTGGTGTAGGGCGTGGAATACAGAATATGCTAATTGGGACATGATTAACCAAAGTTTAAAGAGAGAGCCCTGGCCGGTTTGGTTCAGCGGTTAGAGCGTTGGCCTGCGGTCCTGAGAGACCCGGGTTCGGTTCCCGCTAAGGGCGCGTACCGCGGTTGCAGTTTGTCCCCGGCCCTGGTCGGTTGTGCGGGTGGCAGCCACTCGATGTGTCCCTTCACATCGATGTTTCTCTCTCTCTCTCTCTGTTCCTCTCTCTCCCTCCCACTCTACCTGAACAAAAAATGGAAAAATGTCCTTGGGTGAGGATTAAATAAATAAATAAATAAATAAATAAACAAAGTTTAAAGAGAGAACTGCATAAAGTGCTTTGGGGGCCCTGAGCAACTGATCCCATCTGGTGTCACCAGGGAAGGCTTCCTGGAGGAGGTGACACTGGAAGGGACCTTGAAGGACGCATATAATAACCACAGCAGTACTATTTTTTAAAGCAGGAATTGCTGTCACTAACATAGGGCATGCTATATGCCAGACAATATTTGAAGCCC